AATTCCGCTAAGGAACTAAGGTTCATCGCTTGTGGTCCACGTTGCTTTATTTCAACTCTCCGCTCGACTTTGATCGATGGAGCGCTCGATCCTGCCGACCTTGCTGCCGCGCTTGACAGGAGAGCGAAAGAGGGGGGGAAAAGGAATCGATCCGCCCGGATTGATTAAAACGGTGACTTTTCATTTTTCGCGGCTCAACGAAATATCGGGTTGAGAGTCGATTCTCGAACTAACCTCCTTCGTGTGGGTGATGCATGGTTGTTCGATCGAGTACACGATAATTATATTATATTCTTAAATTTTTATCGATCGAGCGAATTAGAATCCCCCCCTCCCTCCCTGTTCAAATGTAACGTAATAACGATATAATCGTGCCGGAAATAATTCGTATTTGTCATCGATCGTTGCAGTTCTATTTCTTTTTTTTTTTTATCGAAATCAATAATCTCGATAACAAAACTCATGTATAGATCGAGTTTAACCTAGGTCTCGGCTCCCTGCATCCGTTTATCGAAATGTTAATTCGCGTACACCCTGACACCTTGTTGTATTCGATCTTATCCTCTCGAAAAATTAAAAATTCGTCGAAAAATTAAAAAAAAAAAATAAGAAGAAAAACGAGAAGAAACGTTACCTTAGGAGAAAAGGACGATTACGATTACTTTTCCTCGCGCGTAAGTAGTGAAAAAATAGGAAAGAACAGCGATCAAAGATGGGCAAGATGTACCAGATTCCCCGATACGTTCCATTAAACTCGGCACGAGGCCTCGATCGCGGGAACGAAACAGCGCGTATTACGCGCTCTCTACGGAAAAAAATAAATAAATAAATAAATAAAAGCATCGTATTCGATATCGCGTATTCACGATATACGATATTTATATACTTGTGCGCTTCGTGATCATGCACTTGTGTGATCATTTAATCTAATTTCTGTTGAAGTGAAAGGCCCCGCGATCCACCGCCGCGAAAGTGTTTTAATCCGGGCAAGCGTGCTTGCGGGGAGAGGGGGAGGAGCTGGAGGAGGAGGAGGAGGAGGAGGAGGAGGAGGAGGAAGATAAAGGGAAAAATGATCGGAGGGGAAAGGAAAAAAGATTTGGAGGGGGAAAGATTAACGATTAACTGTTTCGACTTGATTCGCGTTTCTTTTCGTTTTTCGACGAATAATTCGTTTGAGAGGAAGAGGAGAGGGGGGAGGGCAGAAAAATGCATTGGATCGAGGATCGTCCAAAGGAAGAAGAGGTGATCCGTTGGCTGGCTGGTACACGGGACACCTTTCCACTTGCCATAAAATCGTGCTTATTCCCTCCATCGAGATGTTTATTTAACAGTCTGTTCGACTTTTGCAGGCAGAGTTTACAACTATACGCTATTACGCGGCCGGAATCAGTCGTATCATCAACATTATTTCGCGTTTTATAGCTTTTGCATTCGCGCGATGCGTGTAATTTGTCCGTGATTATTTATATAAGTAAGCTTTCTTTCTTTCTTTTTTTTTTTTTTTTTTTTTTTTTTTTTTTTACGATACGACTTTACAAAACTCGACTCGAGAGAAGAGGCTCGAATGAAAATCGATCGAAAGACGAAAAAAAAAGGAAGAAAGAAAAAGGATTGCTCGGTTTCGGTGTCACAAAACCAGGCCGTACAAATATTTTCTAAGCATTTTCGAATAACGGTAACGAGTTGTTCGATCTCGAAAGAAAGAAAGAAATAAAGAAAGAACCAAAAAAAAGGAGAGAAAGGAATATGAATGATTCGAGTCAAAGGACTCGTGCGGCGCAAAAATTTTTCACTCCTCTTTCTTTCCGCGAAAAAATAAAATATTCTCCTCGAATATCCAACGAACGAGATTTGAATCGAATTTAAATCGTGAGAAAAAAAAAAAAAAGAAAGAAAATTAATATACTCGATACTCGATATTTTCCAAGTATCTTTTTATCAGAAATCAAAACGACAAGGACAAACACGTATAATCACGTAATTGTAAACGATTATCCAATTATCGATGAATAATAATAATAATAATAATAATAATAATAATAATAATAATCATCGATGAGAAACAAATGGAACTAGAATCGAAGAAAGTTTGTCCGTATTTCCACTTTGCGCGTTCACGATCATCAGGTGGTCGGTGTGTAATCCGCGTATTAATAAATTCGAAATCGACTCGAGAAGCGTCGTGCCCTTTTTCCACTCGGCTAAACTCTAAGTCTTTTCAAGCGTGAAAACACGCTTCATAGTCGATGGAACTAGGCAGAGTTGTGGAATACAACTCAGTGAACATCAGTATGCATATATAATATGTGTATATATATATATATATATATATATATATATATATTTTCTTTCCAACTCTGTTGAATAACTTCATTAACGCCGATAACTGTGCGGGAATGTCAATTTAATCCGTAATACTCTCCTTACGAGAGACGTACAATGGAGAAAGAATCGGGTCACGATGATTGGAGAGCGATTGGAAAGTCAATGAAGCGAAACTATGATGTTTTTTTTTTAATTGATGATATTATATTTTACTTGGTTAAATACACGAGTTTCGATAATTATGATAAACGAGCGTAAAAAAGAAAAAAGAAGTATCAACAGAGAAAGGCGAGATTACTCTCGATGTCAGAGTGGGAAAAAAAAAAAGAAAGGAAAAAAAAGAGATTGTTATTCGTCCTATTTTAAAGTTAATTTTAAAAACGCACGTATCTGTCGAGAAAAGAAAAAGAAAAAAAAAAAAAAAAGAAAGAAAATAATTGATAAATGGACTCGATCTTTCCACAGAACGCAATTTTGTTAAAAAAAAAAAACAAAAACCGTATTATTAAAAGTTCCTTAAAGTCATAGTTCCTTAAACGTAATTATAGCCGTATCGCGCTATAATTAATTAACACGTTACCGTCTCGTAATACGCGATAAAATCAGGAGAAAAGTTCGTCTCGTGAACTTTTCTCTATTATTATTACCCAACTTTTCGAAAGCTTGACTCTCGATAGAATTTCACGATGCTCGAACAATTCGATCATATTTTCATAACGTATAATAATAGCTCGATCGCGTAATACGATATCAATCGAATTAATCCACGCACTCAAGAATATATCGAACCGAAATCTCGAACCGAATCTCGACCGATCCTTTTCTCTTCTCTTCTCTTCTCTTTTCTTTCCTTCTCTTCGCGTTTCTCTCGATAAATGAGGTTAAATTAATTAAAAACCACTCGTTTTTGTTACTCGGTTGTCTATGAAGGAAAGCGTAAAATGGCAAATGTATCTACTTATCGCCGGGAGAGTGCAATGGTAAAGCCAAAAAGGAAAAGGAAGAATGCCCCCTTCTCTCTCTCTCTCTCTCTCTCTCTCTCTCTCTCTCTCTCTCTCTC